AACTCCTCCCTCCCTTCTTACTTCCATCTTTTCTTTTTTTTCAACTTCTCCTCCCTCTTCTTCATTTCTTTTTTTTTTTTTCAACTCCTCCCTCTTCTTCATTACTTCCTCATCTTTTCTTTTTTTTCCCTCCCTCTTCTTCATTTCTTCAACCTCTTTTTTCTTTTTTTTTTCTCCTCCTCTTCTTCATTTTTCACTTCCTCTTCTTTTCTTTTTTTTTTTCTCCTCCCTCTTCTTCTTTACTTCCTTCTTCTTTTCTTTTTTTTTTTTTCCTCCTCTTCTTCATTACTTCAACATCTTTTTCTTTTTTTCAACTCCTCCCTCTTCTTCATTACTTCCTCTTCTTTTCTTTTTTTTTTTCTCCCTCTTCTTCATTACTTCTCTTCTTTTCTTTTTTTTTTTTTCAACTCCTCCTTTCTTTTTTTCAACTCCTCTTCTTCTTCATCTTTTCTTTTTTTTTTTCAACTCCTCCCTCTCTTCTTCATTACTTCAACATCTTTTCTTTTTTTTCAACTCCTCCCTCTTCTTCATTACTTCCATCTTCTTTTCTTTTTTTCAACTCCTCCCTCTTCTTCATTACTTCCTCTTCTTTTTTTTTTTTTTCAACTCCTCCCTCTTCTTCATTACTTCTCATCTTTTCTTTTTTTTCAACTCCTCCCTCTTCTTCATTACTTCAACTTCTTTCTTTTTTTTCAACTCCTCCCTCTTCTTCATTTTCTTCAACATCTTTTCTTTTTTTTTCAACTCCTCCCTCTTCTTCATTTCTTCAACTTCTTTTCTTTTTTTTTCCTCCCTCTTCTTCATCCTCCCTCTTCTTTTTTTTTCTTCCTCTTCTTTCTTTTTTTTTTTTTTTCAACTCCTCCCTCTTCTTCATTTCTTCCTCTTCTTTTCTTTTTTTTCATCCTCCTCTTCTTCATTACTTCAACTTCTTTTCTTTTTTTTTTTCAACTCCTCCCTCTTCTTCATTACTTCCATTCTTTTCTTTTTTTTTTTTCAACTCCTCCCTCTTCTTCATTACTTCCTCTTCTTTTCTTTTTTTTTCAACTCCTCCCTTCTTCATTACTTCAACTTCTTTTCTTTTTTTTTCAACTCCTCCTCTTCTTCATTACTTCCTCTTCTTTTCTTTTTTTTTTCAACTCCTCCTCTTCTTCATTTTTTCAACTTCTTTTTCTCTTTTTTTTCAACTCCTCCCTCTTCTTCATTACTTCCTCTTCTTTTTTTTTTTTTTTTTTTCCTCCCTCTTCTTCATTACTTCAACTTCTTTTCTTTTTTTTTCCTCCCTCTTCTTCATTACTTCCTCTTCTTTTCTTTTTTTCAACTCCTCCTCTTCTTCATTTTTTCCTCTTTTTTCTTTTTTCAACTCCTCCCTCTTCTTCATTACTTCCTCTTCTTTTTCTTTTTTTTTCAACTCCTCCCTCTTCTTCATTTCTTCCCTCTTCTTTTCTTTTTTTTTTTCAACTCCTCCCTCTTCTTCATTACTTCAACTTCTTTTTTTTTTTTCAACTCCTCCTCCTTCTTCATTACTTCCTCTTTTTTTTTTTTTTTCCTCCCCTCTTCTTCATTACTTCAACTTTTTTCTTTTTTCAACTCCTCCCTCTTCTTCATTACTTCAACTTCTTTTCTTTTTTTTTTTTTTCAACTCCTTCTTCTTCATTACTTCAACTTCTTTTTTTTTTTCAACTCCTCCTCTTCTTCATTTTTCCTCTTCTTTTCTTTTTTTTCAACTCCTCCCCCTCTTCTTCTTTACTTCATTCTTTTCTTTTTTTTCAACTCCTCCCTCTTCTTCATTTTTCTTTTCTTTTTTTCAACTCCTCCCTCTTCTTCATTCTTTCTCATCTTTTCTTTTTTCAACTTTTTTTTCTTCTTCCTCCCTCTTCTTCATTTCAACTCCTCCCTCTCTTCTTTTCTTTTTTTTTTTTTTTCAACTCCTCCCTCTTCTTCATTACTTCCTCTTCTTTTCTTTTTTTTCAACTCCTCCTCTTCTTCATTCTTCCTCTTCTTTCTTTTTTTTCAACTCCTCCTCTTCTTCATTACTTCCTCTTCTTTTCTTTTTTTTTTCAACTCCTCCCTCTTCTTCATTACTTCCTCTTCTTTTCTTTTTTTTTTTTTCAACTCCTCCCTCTTCTTCATTACTTCCTCTTCTTTTCTTTTTTTTTCTTTTTTTTCAACTCCTCCCTCTTCTTCATTACTTCCTCTTCTTTTCTTTTTTTCAACTCCTCCCTCTTCTTCATTACTTCCTCTTCTTTTTTTTTTTTTTCAACTCCTCCCCTCTTCTTCATTACTTCCTCTTCTTTTTTTTTTTCAACTCCTCCCTCTTCTTCATTACTTCCTCTTCTTTTCTTTTTCAACTCCTCCCTCTTCTTCATTACTTCCTCTTCTTTTCTTTTTTTCAACTCCTCCCCTCTTCTTCATTACTTCCTCTTCTTTTCTTTTTTCAACTCCTCCCCTCTTCTTCATTACTTCCTCTTCTTTTTTTTTTTTTCAACTCCTCCCCTCTTCTTCATTACTTCCTCTTCTTTTCTTTTTTTCAACTTTTTTCTTCATTACTTCCTCTTCTTTTCTTTTTTTTTTCAACTCCTCCCTCTTCTTCCTTACTTCTTTTTTCTTTTTTCAACTCCTCCCTCTTCTTCATTACTTCCTCTTCTTTTCTTTTTTTTCAACTCCTCCCTCTTCTTCTTACTTCCCTCTTCTTTTCTTTTTTTCAACTCCTCCCTCTTCTTCATTTTCTTCTTTTTTTTTTTTCAACTCCTCCCTCTTCTTCATTACTTCCTCTTCTTTTCTTTTTTTTTTCCCTCTTCTTCATTACTTCCTCTTCTTTTCTTTTTTTTTCAACTCCTCCCTCTTCTTCATTACTTCCTCTTCTTTTCTTTTTTTTTCAACTCCTCCCTCTTCTTCATTACTTCCTTCTTTTCTTTTTTTCAACCTCCCTCTTCTTCATTACTTCCTCTTCTTTTCTTTTTTCAACTCCTCCCTCTTCTTCATTACTTCCTCTTTTTTTTTTTTTTCAACTCCTCCCTCTTCTTCATTACTTCCTCTTCTTTTCTTTTTTTTCAACTCCTCCCTCTTCTTCATTACTTCCTCTTCTTTTCTTTTTTTTCAACTCCTCCCTCTTCTTCATTACTTCCTTTTTCTTTTCTTTTTTTCTTTTTTCAACTCCTCCTCTTTTCTTTTTTCAACTTTTCTTCCCTCTTCATTACTTTTTCTTTTTTTTTTCAACTCCTCCCTCTTCTTCATTACTTCCTCTTCTTTTCTTTTTTTTTCAACTCCTCCCTCTTCTTCATTACTTCCTCTTCTTTTCTTTTTTTTTTTCCTCCCTCCCTCTTCTTTTTTTTTCATTCCTTCCTCTTCTTTTTCCTCTTTTTTTTTTTTCCTCCCTCTTCTTCATTACTTCCTCTTCTTTTCTTTTTTTTTTCCTCCCTCTTCTTCATTACTTCCTCTTCTTTTCTTTTTTTTCAACTCCTCCCTCTTCTTCATTACTTCCTCTTCTTTTCTTTTTTTTTTCAACTCCTCCCTCTTCTTCATTACTTCCTCTTCTTTTCTTTTTTTCAACAACCTCCCTCTTCTTCATTACTTCCTCTTCTTTTTTTTTTTTTTTCAACTCTCCTCTTCTTCATTACTTCCTCTTCTTTTTTTTTTCAACTCCTCCCTCTTCTTCATTACTCCTCTTTTCTTTTTTTTTTCAACTCCTCCCTCTTCTTCATTACTTCCTCTTCTTTTCTTTTTTTCAACTCCTCCCTTCTTCTTCATTACTTCTTCTTCTTTTCTTTTTTTCAACTCCTCCTCTTCTTCATTACTTCCTCTTCTTTTTTTTTTTCAACTCCTCCCTCTTCTTCATTACTTCCTCTTTTTTTTTTTTTTTCAACTCCTCCTCTTCTTCATTACTTCCTCTTCTTTTCTTTTTTTTCAACTCCTCCCTCTTCTTCATTACTTCCTCTTCTTTTTTTTTTTCTCCTCCCTCTTCTTCCTTCTTCTTCTTTTTTACTTTCCTCTTCTTTTTCATTTTTTTTTTCTTTTTTTCAACCTCCCTCTTCTTCATTTTTCCTCTTCTTTTCTTTTTTTCAACTCCTCCCTTTCTTCATTACTTCCTCTTCTTTTCTTTTTTTTTTCAACTCCTCCCTCTTCTTCATTACTTTTCTTCTTTTTTTTTTTTCCTCCTCCCTCTTCTTTTCTTTTTTTTTTCCTTCTTCTTTTTCTTCTTTTTTTTTCAACTCCTCCCTCTTCTTCATTACTTCCTCTTCTTTTCTTTTTTTTCAACTCCTCCCTCTTCTTCATTACTTCCTCTTCTTTTTCTTTTTTTTTTTCCTCCCTCTTCTTCATTACTTCCTCTTCTTTTTTTTTTTTCCCTTTCAACTCCCTCTTCTTTTCTTTCATTACTTCCCTTTCTTCATTTTCTTTTTTTTTTTTCAACTCCTTTCTTCATTTTCCTCTTCTTTTCTTTTTTTCTCCTCCCTCTTCTTCATTACTTCCTCTTCTTTTCTTTTTTTCAACTCCTCCCTCTTCTTCATTACTTCCTCTTCTTTTCTTTTTTTTCAACTCCTCCTCTTCTTCATTACTTCCTCTTCTTTTTTTTTTTCAACTCCTCCTCTTCTTCATTACTTCCTCTTCTTTTCTTTTTTCAACTCCTCCCTCTTCTTCACATTACTTCTTTTCTTTTTTTTTTCTCCTCCTCTTCTTCATTACTTCCTCTTCTTTTCTTTTTTCAACTCCTCCCTCTTCTTCATTACTTCCTCTTCTTTTCTTTTTTTTTCAACTCCTCCCTCTTCTTCATTTTCCCTCTTCTTTTCTTTTTTCAACTCCTCCTCTTCTTCATTACTTCCTCTTCTTTTCTTTTTTTTTTTTTCTCCTCCTCTTCTTCATTACTTCCTCTTCTTTTCTTTTTTTCAACTCCTCCCTCTTCTTCATTACTTCCTCTTCTTTTCTTTTTTTTTTCAACTCCTCCTCTTCTTCATTACTTCCTCTTTCTTTTTTTTTTTCAACTCCTCCCTCTTCTTCATTTTAAGCTCCTCCCTCTTCTTTTCTCTTTTTTTTTTTTTCCTCCCTTTCTTCATTACTTCCTCTTCTTTTCTTTTTTTTCAACTCCTCCCTCTTCTTTTTTTTCTTTTCTTTTTTCATTTTCTTCCAACTCCTCCCTTTCTTCATTACTTCCTCTTCTTTTCTTTTTTTTTCAACTCCTCCCTCTTCTTCATTACTTCCTCTTCTTTTCTTTTTTTTTCAACTCCTCCCTCTTCTTCATTACTTCCTCTTCTTTTCTTTTTTTTTCAACTCCTCCCTCTTCTTCATTTCTTCAACATCTTTTCTTTTTTTTTCAACTCCTCCCTCTTCTTCATTACTTCCTCTTCTTTTCTTTTTTTTTCAACTCCTCCCTCTTCTTCATTACTTCCTCTTCTTTTCTTTTTTTTTTTCAACTCCTCCCTCTTCTTCATTACTTCCTCTTCTTTTCTTTTTTTTTTCAACTCCTCCTCTTCTTCATTACTTCTTCTTCTTTTTTCTTTTTTTTTCAACTCCCCTCTTCTTCATTACTTCCTCTTCTTTTCTTTTTTTCAACTCCTCCCTCTTTCTTTACTTACTTTCTTTCTTTTTTTTTTTTTCCTCCCTCCTCTTCTTCATTCTTCCTCTTCTTTTCTTTTTTCAACTCCTCCTCTTCTTCATTACTTCCTCTTCTTTTCTTTTTTTCAACTCCTCCTCTTCTTCATTACTTCCTCTTCTTTTCTTTTTTTTTTTTTCCTCCCTCTTCTTCATTTTCTTTTTTTTTTTTTTTCAACTCCTCCCTCTTCTTCATTACTTCCTCTTCTTTTTTTTTTTCAACTCCTCCTCTTCTTCATTACTTCCTCTTCTTTTCTTTTTTTCACTCCCCTCTTCTTTCTTCTTCCTCTTCTTTTTTTTTTTTTCAACTCCTTTTCTTTTTCTTCCTCTTCCTTTTTTTTTTTTCACCTCCCTTCTTCTTCTTTTTTTTTTCTTTTCTTTTTTTTTCCTCCTCTTCTTCATTACTTCCTCTTCTTTTTTTTTTTTCAACTCCTCCCTCTTCTTCATTACTTCCTCTTTCTTTTTTTTTTTCAACCTCCTCTTCTTCATTACTTCCTCTTCTTTTCTTTTTTTTCAACTCCTCCCTTTCTTCATTTCTTCTTTTCTTTTTTTCAACTCCTCCCTCTTCTTCATTACTTCCTCTTCTTTTTTTTTTTTTCCTCTCCTCCCTCTTCATTTTTTTCTTCCTTCTTTTTTTTTTTTTTTTCAACTCCTCCTCTTCTTCTTCATTACTTCCTCTTCTTTTTTTTTTTCAACTCCTCCCTCTTCTTCATTTCTTCCTCTTCTTTTCTTTTTTTCAACTCCTCCCTCTTCTTCATTACTTCCTCTTTTTTTTTTTTTTTTCCTCTCTTCTTCATTACTTCCTCTTCTTTTCTTTTTTTCCCTTTCTTTTCTTTTTTTTACTTCCTCTTTTCTTTTTTTCATCCTCCCTCTTCTTCATTCTTTCTTCTTTTTTTTTTTTTCAACTCCTCCCTCTTCTTCATTACTTCCTCTTCTTTTCTTTTTTTTTCAACTCCTCCTCTTCTTCATTACTTCCTCTTCTTTTCTTTTTTTTCAACTCCTCCCTCTTCTTCATTACTTCCTCTTCTTTTCTTTTTTTCAACTCCTCCCTCTTCTTCATTACTTCCTCTTCTTTTTTTTTTTTTCAACTCCTCCTTCTCCTCTTCATTCATTTCTTCCTCTTTTTTTTCTTTTTCCCCTCTTCTTCATTACCCTCTTCTTTTTTTTTTTTTTTCAACTCTTCTTTTCATTTTTTCTTTTCCTCCCTCTTCTTCATTACTTCCTCTTCTTTTCTTTTTTTCAACTCCTCCTCTTCTTCATTACTTCCTTCTTCTTTTTTTTTTTCAACTCCTCCCTCTTCTTCATTACTTCCTCTTCTTTTCTTTTTTTTCAACTCCTCCTCTTCTTCATTACTTCCTCTTCTTTTTTTTTTCAACTCCTCCCTCTTCTTCATTACTTCCTCTTCTTTTTTTTTTTTTCCCTTCCTCCCTCTTCTTCATTACTTCCTCTTCTTTTCTTTTTTCAACTCCTCCTCTTCTTCATTACTTCCTCTTCTTTTCTTTTTTTTTTTCCTCCTCCCTCTTCTTCATTACTTCCTCTTCTTTTTTTTTTTTTTCAACTCCTCCCCTCTTCTTCATTTTTTCTTCCTCTTCTTTTCTTTTTTTCAACTCCTCCCTCTTCTTCATTACTTCCTCTTCTTTTCTTTTTTTTTTTCAACTCCTCCCTCTTCTTCATTACTTCCTCTTCTTTTCTTTTTTTTTTCTCCTCCTCTTCTTCATTACTTCCTTCTTCTTTTTTTTTTTTTTCAACTCCTCCCTCTTCTTCATTTTCAACTCCTCCTCTTCTTTTCTTTTTTTTTTTTCAACTCCTCCTCTTCTTCATTACTTCCTCTTCTTTTCTTTTTTCAACTCCTCCCTCTTCTTCATTACTTCCTCTTCTTTTCTTTTTTTTTCAACTCCTCCCTCTTCTTCATTACTTCCTCTTCTTTTCTTTTTTTTTCCTCAACCTCCCTTCTTCATTACTTCCTCTTCTTTTCTTTTTTTCAACTCCTCCCTCTTCTTCATTACTTCCTCTTCTTTTCTTTTTTTTCTTTTCAACTCCCTCTTCTTCATTACTTCCTCTTCTTTTCTTTTTTTTCAACTCCTCCCTCTTCTTCATTACTTCCTCCTCTTTTCTTTTTTTTTTCAACTCCTCCTCTTCTTCATTACTTCCTCTTCTTTTTTTTTTTCAACTCCTCCCTCTTCTTCATTACTTCCTCTTCTTTTTTTTTCAACTCCTCCCTCTTCTTCATTCTTCCTCTTCTTTTCTTTTTTCAACTCCTCCCTCTTCTTCATTACTTCCTCTTCTTTTCTTTTTTTTCCTCTCCTCTTCATTACTTTCCTCTTTCTTTTCTTTTTTTCAACTCCTCCTCTTCTTCATTTTTTCCTCTTCTTTTCTTTTTTTCTTTTCTCCTCTTCCTCTTCATTACTTCCTCTTCTTTTTCTTTTTTCTCTTCCCTTTTTTTTCAACCTCCTCCTCCTCTTCTTCATTCTTCCTCTTCTTTTTCTTTTTTTCAACTCCTCCCTCTTCTTCATTACTTCCTCTTCTTTTCTTTTTTCAACTCCTCCCTCTTCTTCATTACTTCCTCTTCTTTTTTTTTTCAACTCCTCCCTCTTCTTCATTACTTCCTCTTCTTTTCTTTTTTTTCAACTCCTCCCTCTTTCTTCTTTTTTCACTTCCTCTTCTTTTCTTTTTTTTTTTTTCTTCTTCTCCCCTCTTCTTCATTTTTTTCACTTCCTCTTCTTTTTTTTTCTTTTTTTTCAACTCCTCCTCTTCTTCATTACTTCCTCTTCTTTTCTTTTTTTTTCAACTCCTCCCTCTTCTTCATTACTTCCTCTTCTTTTCTTTTTTTTTCAACTCCTCCCTCTTCTTCATTACTTCCTCTTCTTTTCTTTTTTTTTTCAACTCCTCCCTCTTCTTCATTACTTCCTCTTCTTTTCTTTTTTTTTCAACTCCTCCCTCTTCTTCAACTTACTTCTTCATTTTCTTTTTTCTTTTTTTCAACTCCTCCCTCTTCTTCATTACTTCTCTTCTTTTTTTTTTTTTCAACTCCTCCCTCTTCTTCATTACTTCCTCTTCTTTTCTTTTTTCAACTCCTCCCCTCTTCTTCATTACTTCCTCTTCTTTTTTTTTTTTTCAACTCCTCCCTCTTCTTCATTACTTCCTCTTCTTTTTTTTTTTCAACTCCTCCCTCTTCTTCATTACTTCTCTTCTTTTCTTTTTTTTTCAACTCCTCCTCTTCTTCATTACTTCCTCTTCTTTTTTTTTTTTTTTTCAACCTCCTCTTCTTCATTACTTCCTCTTCTTTTCTTTTTTTTTTCAACTCCTCCCTCTTCTTCTTCATTTCTTCCTCTTCTTTTTCTTTTTTTCATTCCTCCCTCTTCTTCATTTTTCTTTTTTACTTCCTCTTCTTTTTTTTTTTTTTTCAACTCCTCCCTCTTCTTCATTACTTCCTCTTTTCTTTTTTTTTCAACTCCTCCCTCTTCTTCATTACTTCCTTTTCTTTTCTTTTTTTTCAACTCCTCCCTCTTCTTCATTACTTCCTCTTCTTTTCTTTTTTTTCAACTCCTCCCTCTTCTTCATTACTTCCTCTTCTTTTCTTTTTTTTCAACTCCTCCCTCTTCTTCATTCTTCCTCTTCTTTTTTTTTTTCAACCTCCTCCCTCTTCTTCATTACTTCCTCTTCTTTTCTTTTTTTTCAACTTTTTCAACTCTCCTCTTCTTCATTACTTCCTCTTCTTTTCTTTTTTTTTTCCTCCCTCTTCTTCTTACTTCCTCTTCTTTTCTTTTTTTTTTTTTCTTCAACTCCTCCTCTTCTTCATTACTTCCTCTTCTTTTTTTTTTTTCAACTCCTCCTCTTCTTCATTACTTCCTCTTCTTTTCTTTTTTTCAACTCCTCCCTCTTCTTCATTACTTCCTCTTCTTTTTTTTTTGTGGCCTCAACTCTCCTCTTCTTCATTACTTCCTCTTCTTTTTTTTTTTTTTTCCTCCTCTTTCTTCTTCCCTCTTCTTTTCTTTTTTTTTTTTCCTCCCTCTTCTTCTTCTTCTTCTTTTTTTTTTTCAACTCCTCCTCTTCTTCATTACTTCCTCTTCTTTTTTTTTTCAACTCCTCCCCTCTTCTTCATTACTTCCTCTTCTTTTCTTTTTTTCAACTCCTCCCTTCTTCTTCTTCTTTTTTTTCCTCTTCTTTTCATTTTTTTCAACTCCTCCCTCTTTCTTCATTACTTATTCTCTTCTTTTTTTTTTTCAACTCCTCCCTCTTCTTCATTACTTCCTTCTTTATCTTTTTTTTTTTCAACTCCTCCTCTTCTTCTTTACTTCCTCTTCTTTTCTTTTTTTTTTTTCCTCCCTCTTCTTCATTACTTCCTCTTCTTTTTTTTTTTTTCACTCCTCCTCTTCTTCATTACTTCCTCTTCTTTTCTTTTTTTCAACTCCTCCTCTTTCTTCATTACTTCTCTTCTTTTTTTTTTTTTTTTTTTCTCCCTCTTCTTCATTTCTTCAACATCTTTTCTTTTTTTCAACTCCTCCTCTTCTTCATTACTTCCTCTTCTTTTCTTTTTTTTCAACTCCTCCCTCTTCTTCATTACTTCCTCTTCTTTTCTTTTTTTTTCAACTCCTCCCTCTTCTTCATTACTTCAACATCTTTTCTTTTTTTTTCAACTCCTCCCTCTTCTTCATTACTTCCTCTTCTTTTCTTTTTTTTTCAACTCCTCCCTCTTCTTCATTACTTCCTCTTCTTTTCTTTTTTTTTCAACTCCTCCCTCTTCTTCATTACTTCCTCTTCTTTTCTTTTTTTTTCAACTCCTCCCTCTTCTTCATTACTTCCTCTTCTTTTTTTTTTTTCACCTCCTCCTCTTCTTCTTCCTTCTTCTTCTTTTCTTTTTTTTTTCTCCTCCTCTTCTTCATTACTTCCTCTTTTTTTCTTTTTTTTCCTCCTCCCTCTTCTTCTTTACTTCCTCTTCTTTTCTTTTTTTTCAACTCCTCCCTCTTCTTCATTACTTCCTCTTCTTTTCTTTTTCAACTCCTCCCTCTTCTTCATTACTTCCTCTTCTTTTCTTTTTTTTTCAACTCCTCCCTCTTCTTCATTACTTCCTCTTCTTTTCTTTTTTTTTCAACTCCTCCCTCTTCTTCATTACTTCCTCTTCTTTTCTTTTTTTTTTCAACTCCTCCCTCTTCTTCATTACTTCCTCTTCTTTTCTTTTTTTTTCAACTCCTCCCTCTTCTTCATTACTTCCTCTTCTTTTCTTTTTTTTTCAACTCCTCCCTCTTCTTCATTACTTCCTCTTCTTTTCTTTTTTTTTCAACTCCTCCCTCTTCTTCATTACTTCCTCTTCTTTTCTTTTTTTCAACTCCTCCCTCTTCTTCATTACTTCCTCTTCTTTCTTTTTTTCAACTCCTCCCTCTTCTTCATTACTTCCTCTTCTTTTCTTTTTTTTCAACTCCTCCTCTTCTTCATTACTTCCTCTTCTTTTTTTTTTTTCAACTCCTCCTCTTCTTCATTTCTTCAACCTTTTCTTTTTTTTTCAACTCCTCCCTCTTCTTCATTACTTCCTCTTCTTCTTTTTTTTTTTTTTCCTCCCTCTTCTTCATTCTTCCTCTTCTTTTCTTTTTTTCCCTCTTCTTCATTACTTCCTCTTCTTTTCTTTTTTTTTTTCCTCCTCCCTCTTCTTCATTACTTCCTCTTCTTTTTTTTTTTTCTTAGTCAACTCCTCCCTCTTCTTCATTACTTCCTCTTTTCTTCTTTTTTCAACTCCTCCCTCTTCTTCATTACTTCCTCTTCTTTTCTTTTTTTCAACTCCTCCTCTTCTTCATTACTTCCTCTTCTTTTTTTTTTTTCAACTCCTCCCTCTTCTTCATTACTTCCTCTTCTTTTCTTTTTTTTTCAACTCCTCCCTCTTCTTCATTACTTCCTCTTCTTTTACGTCTCTTCTCATACATACATTCTTCTTCAATGTTCCTTGAATTCTTCGACTTCTTTCTTTTTTCTTCCTCTTTATTAATTTCTTCTTTTTCTTCTTCTCTTCTTCCTTTTTCTTCTCCTTTGTCTTCTTCATTTGTTTTTCTTCTTTTTCTTGATTCCAATATGTGTCGTTGTATTAGTTCGTCTGAAAATAAGAATTTAAATCTGGACTTTGGATTTCATAATTCAATTTCGAAAAAATTTAATGAATGTCTATTTAAATGCATCTTTTAATTAAATGGCCTATTTTTGGCATGAAGAATGACGCATTTCGTGCCGATTCACCAGTTGCATAATGAGAAAGCCCCCCCTTACTCTTTCTCTCTCTCTCTCTATATATATATATATATATATACATACATACATATATTAGTATATTTCTCAATATATATAATTCACTTCATAATCTCACTCTATGCAGATGTATGTCAATACATGCATATATTTGACTTATATATATATATATATATATATATATATATATATATATTTAGTAATTTTATCCGAACCTTTCTATATATTTATTTCTCTTTCTTCTTTTCGTGTCACACACACACGCACATACACACACACACACTCTCTCTCTCTCTCTCTCTCTCTCTCTCTCACACACACACATACATATATATAGATATTCTCCTGAAAAGATTATTTCGGTTGAGCTCTCTGGGGATGAATTGTAAATTTGTAAACAGTAACTATTACTGCTAACAATGCATGACTCTTCGATAAAATGAATCGAATTCTCTTAGTCACGGTGCGTTTATCTAACAATAAATACGCTTAAATTCACCTTCATCCCTGCCGTGCGCCAATGTTCGTAGAATCTCCGACTGACGCCTATTCACTCGGGTTTCGATCCTAGCTAGAGGCAACCGGACGTCCAGAGATACAGATGAGCTATGATACAGCCAAGCAGTCTGTCTGTGGATGACAATATACATATATATTGTAAAAATTTTATATATAGGTATATATATTGTGAAATTTTTAATTATTACACACACACACACACACACACACATATATATATATATATTTATACATTCTCTGCAATATAAATATATAGAAAGGACCACAAAGTGAGGGATGAGTTTATATATTGATTGTAATATAGAATAGATCCCCCACTTTATATTCACATTATAATCTTTTTGTTTGGTTATCATAATGGGATTAGGTATAAATCCACCTATTCTCCCCTCAGGTATGGGCTAATTAGTAAGACTAATATATAAAAAAAAAGAAATATTATTGCCCCCCTCCCCCGCAATTCTTACAATCGAAAAATATTCTCTGGTTTAAAATAACCTGCAAAGAATTGATAAGCTGCAGAAAACAAATCAATCAAGAATTGACAACAGAAAAATCACCAGTATTTCATAAGGTTGTTTATTTACAAGAATATTTTTATAATTACAAGTTGATAAAACTAAGTGAACAAACTATAATGCAATATTTTTCATTTATCATATTACTAAAGATATGAGATTGAAAACAAATTTTGTTATTCCTGAATCGATAAAAATGTCTACGAACAAGAAAATTTAATATACGTGTAATTAGAATTACGATCTTTAAAAAAAATTATTTTCTCCGACTTTTATTTGATTTCATCACATAAATTCCTTCACATAGTTTGGATTTATATTTTTCATTCTGGAAAAATATCTAGTAAGGTTCCATAACCAGCGAACTAACACGTAACTTTCAACTGTGATGATGAATGTGTGTTCTGTCAAGGCGTCGACTTGTTGTGGACGTTTATAAGCTCACTGCAGTCCCAAAGTGGAACATATACCAAGTCTATAGTTAAAGACACCCGAAAAATGGGCGCAAAAGAGTTCTACAAGCGATAAGTTCTATAACAATGAGAAATTTACTGAAAAAAAAAGTTTGAACAAAGTAACTATAAACAATTTTTTTGCTATCCTCTGCCAGTCGCAATGATGGAGAAAGCATTACCTCGAACCATCGCCAGTAAGACACGCTGCAAGAGCGACTCCGTTTCGAGAGGCTCATCCCTTAATCGAGACGTAATCGCGCCAATCCTCTGAAGGAACGCCATCGAACGAGGGCCAATAACCCCAGAAGCCTCCACTGCCACAGGAGTAAAAAAAATCTATCAGCAAGAGAAGAATATTTAACTATGTTTTTTTTTTTTTTATCTCTGCGTTCCGGGCGACGGACCCCGGCTCAACCGCGGACCTGATCAAATTACCGACCGAAAATGTATCCGCACAGGTCGCATCCCAAATCGACTTCCCCATTTTAAAAGGAAAAATAGTGATGCCATTCGGCTGTTTTCCATCACCACAGTCGAGGCCTACGGGTTCGATTTGGGAATGGAACTCAGCTGCATCCAAACCTCTTCTGGTGATGTCGTGCTGCATGTCGTGGAAAATGCAAACCAAACTCATCGATGGAAGCTCCACATCTGCATCTGGGACGCTCACATATTTTGAGTCCAAAGAACTTATGACTACATCTAGAAAGTCATCTATAAAATGATGAGACCTTTCCGCCAATCAAGCACGGCGGTTAAATTCATAAATAACGATAAATCTAGCTAATCAGAAGAATTACCATGAAAATTGTAGATGTTGTATTTATCAAATTGTCTGGTCTTTTGTAGACAACTTACTTCCCTTCTCCCACCGTCTTTCGTACACTGCGTAGTTATATTTTCTCACATCTCGTAGTTGCCGTGTGTTTGTGTCAATTTATCAGAATAAAAATAATATGATATCCCCATGAGATACTTTTTTAACGTACGGACGTCCATGAAAAGTTTTTCTTCTTTTTTCTGAAACTTTGTTAAAATATTCATTTAAAATCTTAGAAGTATCTGTCTATATTTCAAATTAGGACACATGGCACAGTGGATAAAGGCATTAGTTTGATCCAATGACAGGACCCAAAAAGTGTGAGTTCAATACCTGGTTAAGGCCGTGGAGAACTTGGAAAAACAACATCCATTAAACACGGCGTAGAACTAAATGTTCTAACTAACTGCAAATGCCACTAAACCACCTGAAGAAGGCCAGAGCGTACAATGGCTGAAACGCTGTGATAAATATGGCAACAAAGATGAGGACAATAGTCCGAATAATGTCAAAATGCAGAGGGTAGTTATGTTACGTCGTTGGGAAAGTTACCGAAGCTGAGATGCCAAATCAGGACCAATAAAATTGCATATTCTTTTTGGGATTTTATCAAGAATAGCTAAATGTATAGCAGTATCTGGCCAGATGCGACAGCAGTATTCAAGGGAAGAGCGAGTGGTTGACTTATAAATATGTAAGATAGATTCTGGCAAGAATAATTCTCTTTCACGACACAATGAACCAAACTTCTTAGCAGCTGAATTAGCAATTGATACAATATAATCATTTTATTTCATTTGAGCGGAAAACATTATCCGGAAAAGGCGCCATGAATCACACTCTGGAGGTTAGCATCTGCCATGCTGGTGAAAGATAAAATAGGTTCCCCTTAACTATTAAAAAAGAGGAGTTTCTTTTTGGAGCCGTTAAAATTAACAAAACATTGCTTACCCCAGTTAGCAATAGATTGTAGGTATTTTTTTTAAGATCAGCTTCCAATTTGTTTTTATCTGAAAATCTCTGTTATACATGAAAAAACTGAATATTGTTGCCATAACTGTATTGGAGCAACACTGTCGTCAACTATAAAAAAACTCTGATACTGATCTGATACTCACAAGGCGAATAGAGTTAACAGATGCTTAAGCAAGTAGATGGCAGTCAGGGCCTTGGAGAAATAGCAAAAAAAAAAGACTTACTGAGAGTTACAAGAATCAGGAGAAGGAGGTGGAGAGCCATGATCGCCTACGTCCTGAAGGACGCGGCAGCTGTTAATATTCTGGAAAGACATTATAATAAACGGTAATTTTTTCGCCGAGTATGACTGGGCCAACTCTGGCGTAGCGTTCGCGCTTTGCGGCCGCCCCTAGCGACGACACGCTCGGTATGGCAGGCTCCAGCGGAACGAAAAGAGACGCCTTTCGTAATACCGTGACGGCACCGGTCACGGTTCCGGCTTAGAGATTTTCAGCTACACTATACCTCTAAATATAAAAAAATATGAGCTCAGTAGTTATACAAAAATAGAAAGCGGCGTAAGGCAATGATGTGTCTTCTCACCGGACTAATTTAACCTATAGAGCGGGGCAATTCTGAGAGAACTAGAAATCCTACCGGGATCCATCTCTGACGGCCATTTAATAACGTAAGATATGCAGATGATACAGTGCTGATAACAGACACGGAAAGGAAACTACAAAACCTCCTAGATAAGGTAGCAAAGGAGAGCAAGAAGAAAGGACTAAGTATAAACTACAAGAATACAGAATGCATGGTAATCAGCAAAAGAAATGAGCTCGAAATGCAATTGAAAGGTCGGGGACACTAAAATCAAGCAAGGAATTTAAATATCTGGGAAGTGTTCTGACAGAGGCCGGAAAGTGCGACACTAAGATCTGAAGACGCATTCGAATAACCAAAGCCGCATTCCAAAAGCTGTGCAGAGTATTACAAGACATGAGGATATCTTTGGTAACAAAGAAAAGAGTACTGAACTGCTACGTAACATCTGTCCACCTTTACGGCAACGAATGTTATAGTCTTCTCAAGGATGAAGAAGAGACTTCTGCAGAAGGATGCTGAGGATACCGCAGACCGAATATGCGAACAACGATGAGGTTTTAGAGAGGATGGAAA